ATTTGGTATCAGAGCAAACCTCTCCATCGCAATCTGCTGACTGCTATCAGGTGTTGACGTGGCACCCAGGTAAGTGGGAAGTGCCGCATGTGCAAAACGAAACGCGTTTATTAACGCGCACGGTTAACACCGCAAGTCTAGACATGGTAGTAATGCACGTGCGAGCAACTGTCCCTTGCAGATGATGACGAGGCTACGCTGAGGATTGAAGAGTTGCGTTGGCAACAGGCTGACGTGACGCTGGTACCGCTGATGTGGCACATTGTTATGTGGCATGCAGGGCATGGTCTAACGTGGCACGCACCTTTGTCATTACTGCTTGCTGATTGACATGCTGACGTAGTATATTGGTGTAAGGTAGACCTGCATTGTGACGTGGCGTCCCTCCTTGTAGACCGTTTCGGACCTTGACGCTGACGTGGGAGAATTGCTGCGTTGGCAGGCCAGGGATGACACGTGGCATGCGTAAGGACTGTTGAAGGTGTGAATGTGCACTTGGGTTGTACCACTGCTGCAGATGATTGAGAAGATAGCTAACCATTGATTGTGTTATGTGTTGGTTCTGCTTTCCTGCTGGTTGTCTGTGGATGTTGTGCATACTTACACTTGTGCTGTTGTCTTGATCACACTGGCCGTGGCTGCGGTACCTGTAGTTGTAGAGTTTCATCACAAAGAATACAGACATCAAAGTTAGAACTCAGGAAAGACTCGGAAATTTATTTCTTCTGATAATTTCTTGCTGAAAAGTTGCTGCAGAAGACGCGTGTACTGTGGAATTTATTTTTGTCTTTAATTTTATTTATTGTGCAGTAAAAACATGCGGGCAAAATGAACTCTCCCTGGAAATGTCTGCGTGCCTCCATCCTGACGGGGTTCATTCCACTCCTCTTCTTTCCTATCCCTCGCATAGTCCACGCTGATGAAGAAGTAGGGGATCTCAAGACGCGTGGACAGATTGATGCAAGAAGGCAAACATTACAAGGCCTTCTTCGACAATTGCTTGGTGAGATACATGGTTCCGGTCTAGCAATTGAACAACATTTTCACAGACAGTTCAACCTGCGAGCAGCAGAGGAAGAGCTAGAGGCCGCGAAAACTAGTGTTCAGATGTTGGAAACCAGGCGGCGAGTCAAGGAACTCGTTCAACAAGGGCGTATGGCTCTTGACCGGTATGTCGTCGAGCTGTTGGAAGAAATGAGCCGAAAAGGAGAGCAAAAAGAGACAAAAAAAGAAAAGAAAGTGAAACCACAATTGTCTGTGGAACTGATGCAGGAGAATGTCAGACAATTGGAAAATAAGGGAAGAAAGGAGAAAAATTGAAGAGTTCAGAAGAAAGAAGGAAGAGAGAGAACAACAAGAGAAAATGTTGGAGGAAATGAGGGAACGGTTTCACTTCGAGGAAGTTGAGACTGATCTGTTATCCGTGTTGCAATCTATTATGGCTTATCTTATTCATCTTGAAAAGAAGATAGACTCTAATACTGTCTCATTAGAAAGTATGATGAGAATGATGAAAGGTAAGGACAAGGTGAGCTCTGAGGAGGAGGAGAAGGGGGAAATAGAAAAGAAACCATACCAGGAGAAACTTATGAAAGATGCAATACGGAAGGAGGACAAACCCGGACTCTCGAAGAAGGGGTCTGAGGAACCGACAGGAAAGAGAGAAGAACCGGCCAAGAAAGAAGTACCGACCGACAAGAAAGAAGAACCGGCTAAGAAAGAAGAACCGGTTAAGGAAGCAGAAAAACCGAAAAAGAAAGAAAAGGTTAAGATGAAATTGTCGTTTACCTATAGCAACAAAAAGGAAGAAAATTTGTTGTTGTGGATCATTGAAATAGAGACTTATTGTGGCACTGCACCCGTTGAGCCTGAAAGTCAGGTTGCTTTCTGCACGTCTTGTCCGGGAGGAGTGGCCAAGGAATGAGTGTTGGCCGAAGCCAACGCCACTGGCTTTGAGAACATAGGTGAGTGGACTAAAACCCTGATGTTGAGGCAGTTTGCCCAGAAAATCAAAGAGAGATTCCTTGACAAGACGACAACCGATAAGGCTTTCGATGAACTCACCACTATAGTCCAAAAGCGTTGGACTTCTGTTGATGCCGTGTCTCGTGAAGTGGACCGTCTGTTGCAGGTACCTGGACTGAACCTTCAGGACAACCAGGTTCTCTACATCTACTCACGTGCATTGCCCGAGCCCATTCGTGGACAACTCGTGGCTGAATTGAAGTCAGGTAAGTATAACTATCGACTTTTTCGTTATCTCGCTCTCCAACGAGAGCAGATGACTGCGCAGGTAAAGGGGTCTTACGCTTCGGTGGTCAACCCGGGACGGGTAGGAGGTTATGGCAAGCGGGTCCTTTGGCGGCAAAAGCGCCAGGACCATATGCTTGTGTTATTCGACGATGAGACTGTAGAGAAGTTACCTCTGGAAGAGTCTGAGGGAGGAGGAGGTAACGACAGTAGTGAGTCTGGGAAGGGTGACGTCACTACTGTCATGGCCAACAAGAGAGGCCAAAACCAGTGGAAGAAGAAGAAGAGGCCACACTCGTTTCCCGAGCACCCCGGCATTGCATTCTGAAGGCCTTGGGAAAAGATGAATATGACTCGAGAGGAATGGCAGTCCAAAATGGACAATCGCCAGTGCCTCAAGTATGGCACCGTGGGCACGTGATAGCCTGGTGCCCGCTTATTCGAAACCCAAAAGCCATCAGCCAGTAGGAGTAGCATCTGCTCCTACTAAGTTGAAGGGATTAGACGAAGATAAAGGAAAGGCGCCTGTAACCCATTCTTTCCCTTTGACTCTTAAGGCAGAGGATGGCTCTTCTTTCGCCTGTCGTCTAGACCACCCTGACACAGTACTTTGTTATGTTTCGTTGGACGATTCCCTTGACGATCTCGACAATGAACTGATAGCACTACGGAGCTCGTGGGCGAAGAAAGCGAAGTCCAAGGGTGAGTTGATGATTGCGGACATTCAAATTGCGCACACGAGAGTAAGTGCTTTGTTAGATTCGGGATCGAGACGGTCTTATATCTCAGAGAAGGCAATTCGAAAGTTGCATGTGGAATGAAGGTAAAGGATTTACCTAGACCTATCACGTCTATACTGGCTGACAAGAGCACGATCACTGTCTCTCAATACGTCGATCGTGTTGAGTGTTACTTCAGGACCAAGGAAGGTAAGAAGATTTTACACGAGGTATCCTTCATTATAGAGAAGAATTTACCGTTTGACTTAATTTTTGGGTATGGATTGGCATGAGGAAGTCGACCCAGAAGTTAAGTTCAAAGACAAAATTGTAAAACTCAAGGACGAGAAGTCCGAACTGCGTACTATAAAGCTGTATCATAAGTCTGGCCCTGACTCTACTCGGTCTTTTTATTGTATGAGTTACCCAACCTTTCGTTCGATGGTAGTAAAAAAGAAGTTGGATCAGGAGGTGATGATGGTGCTTGTTAAACAAGTCGGTGAGTGTTCTTCATCCTACCCACCTTCTATCGAAAAACTTCTTGACGAGTACAAGGACTTGCAGACTGAGCCTACGGGAATCACTGAGCGTGCTCTTAAGCACACGATTGAGATTATTCCCGGGAGCAAATTTCCCAAGGGTCCCATGTACCTACCGTATGTCTCCCAGAGAACTTGAGGAATCATGAAAACAGTTGAAGGAACTTACTGACAAGGGATGGATTCGACCCATCTCATCTCCCTATGGTGCACCTGTCTTATTTGTGCCCCAAACGGAAGGTGAACTTCATTTATGTATTGATTATCCAGGGTTGAATTCTGTCACTGTGAAAAACGCGGAACCACTTCTGCGTATTGATAACTTGCTGGACCAACCACAGGGCTGCAGATATTTTAGCAAGATTGATCTCAAGTCAGGATACCACCAGATCGAGGTGGCCCTTGAAGATTAACATAAGACGACTTTCCGAACAAGGTATGGTCACCACGGGTTTGTGGTAACGCCTTTCGGATTGACTAACGCCCCTGCAACCTTTCAAAGGTCCATGAATGAATTGTTCTGTCAGTGGTTGGACCAATTCGTAATTGTCACAGGTAAATAGCTGGCACGCACCTCTTCAACCGCAGCGTGCCACACTACAAAGCCATACATACAGTATGGCGGGCGTGTTACAGGAGTAGCCACGCACGCGCAAGCCCAGCAACTGCCCGGGTTGAAACCCCGACAGCAGCAAGATCCCAGATCTTGACAATATAATCCGGGAGCGGGGCGGGGCGGGGCAGCGTGGGCGAGTGGCGCACGCACGTGCGGCGACCTTGGCCTTGGCGCTTGCGCGCACTCGTCGTGATGGCAAACCCTTTTTCCGCCACGTGTCGCTCTCTTGCTGCACCGTTTTGCCTTCCCTCGTTTTCGTCAAAAACCGGCCGAAAAACAGCGAAAAACCCCACTATCGGGTTTTGTTGTTTTCCCTGCTGTGTGGTTGGGGGGGGGGGGGAGCGAGGAACGTTCCCGCTCCGATACCAGTGTGGCGGACCCACCAGGTGTGGTGCTCCGCTTGGGACAAAGATGGAGATGGAGGATGAAGGGGGAGCGAGATGGCACAACGCAGCTCCTACGCGAGACTCCAACGCACGTACTCCAAGATGTGCGAATGTAGAATGAATCGGAAAACAGACAACAACTGGGGTATACCCCAGCGGATTGACGGGACTGGACTGGACTGGCTGGTACCGACAGAGGTACCGCCCTGGACTGGACTGCCCCGAATACAACATAGGTCTGTGAGAACAGGCCAAGGGGCTGGTCTCACAGGCCGACCAGAGGTCCGCTACATTTAACGAAAAGGAAGACCTTTGGTAGAGTCTCCTCTATACAGAGTGGATTGCCAGATCTGTCACCTGTCAAAATATAATCTAATTCCTCTAAACTAAGAAAATTTTGGCATCGCTTTCTGTAGGAAAAGTGCCTTAGCAGAATTTTTACTAACTTAAATATGAAAACAAAACAAACTCTAATCATGGAAAGTCAAATTTTGTCCAACTCCCTGAATAAGTAAAAATTTGGGCAATATCTCCTTTAGAAGGGTAGACTTCCCAAATTGATACTAAGTCAGATAGGAACTCAGAAGCTAGACTTGAGTTCAACTTCAAGACAAAGTTCAACTGACCCTTTAAATTTGTAGAAATTTCGACAGCGCTTTCCGTAGAGAAAGTGCTATTCCAAGATTTATACAAAGTTCAGTTAACTTCCCAAGATCCAATTTTGTCCAACTCCCTAAATTAGCAAAAATTTGGGCAGCACTCCCTTTAGAATACGAGGTTGTCCAGATTTTTACTAAACCAAAAAAAGTCAGAAAAACTGGATTCTGAAAAAAGACAAAATCTGACTAACTCCTTGGTTTTGTAGAAATTTCGGCAGCGCTTCCTGTAGAGAAAGTGGCTTACCAAGATTTATACAAGACCAAATATAATAAATGATCCCAGAAAATGCAAAAATTGACCCAAGTAAAAATGAACTTAGCTCAGGAAATGCAGGAATTGAAACTAACTCTTATGGCTCTAGCATGTGGCGAGCAACTAAAGCAACTACCTATCAACTGAAACTCAGACTAAATAATGATCTCACTCAGCCACATGCAAGCCAAACCACAAAGGTAAGTACTCTTGCCAACCCAAAGTCAATTTATCAAATAATAGTTCATGATTTTTCAATGATTTATCCCTTTATACCCAACTTACATAAGGAAAGCTAGGCCACCCAATCTGATGGGAATTTGTCTAGCTCAGCCATATAATATACACAAACACAGGGCACTACAACTTTTCTCTTCGTTGGGCACATGACTAGGCCACCCTAGTCGCCCTGCACCATTTAAGTATCCAAGTTATATATAATTGTCTGCATTTTGTCTTTTAAGGCAACATATGATTGAATCGGTCATCTTAGATCAAGATTCAGCCTGTCCCTTTTTACCACAATTTTTATTCTTAATTCATACTCTCTTCAGTTGGTGATAAGCTATAGTCAGACCATCCAATCTTATGGAAAAATATCTGACTAGCCTGTTCATAAGTAAATAGTATAAGATATAAACAAGTTTAACCCTTTTTGTTCCAGCATGTGCGTGGCTCCAGACCAGATCACCCAATCTTATGGGAACCTGTCCAGTCCTTTGCCTGAATTTCTCCCTCATAAATAAAACAAAAGATAGTTAGGGTCATCCAATCTTATGGAACGTGCTCAACTGTCCTTCAGAAACTAATAAAACATAAGAAACCCCAAGGAAAACAAGGCAACCAGGCCATCCAATCTTATGGAAAAATGCTTGGTCCCTGAAAGTCAAACTCATGCAGCCCTCACAAGTCAAAGCAACCAGACCACCCAATCTTATGGGAACCTGTCTGGTCCTTCAGGAAATCAAAAATAAACATAGCACTGGGCCCTCCAATCTTATGGAGACTCTCCCAACCTTTGGTTGACCCAGTCAAACGTACTCAATACAACCTTCCTCCCACCTTTCCCCAGATGCAATCCTTTCTCACACTCTGCTTTCAGTCAGACAATAAAACTGAAACTGCCATTACGCATACATTCCTCTTACTTCAGTCCGGTTTGTCCTGAACGTCAAACTGAAAGTCAAGGCAGGGACGCATTCAGTATACTCAGTCAAAACATAGTCAGGGATACAATAATGGGTTATAATTGGGTTTATAGAGAGAAAACGAATGGTTACCTCTCAGTTCCCTGCCTCCATAACTCCTCCTGAGTTCCGGCAGAGCTCCCGCAATCAGTGGGCTGACTCCCCACAGAGTCTTGCTGCGGTCCTACGGGTTGCAATCCCGCCTACCGCCTTCCTCTCATAACCAAGATTAGACTTAGAGTAAGAAGGGCAGAAGTTGGATTTTCAGACTCTCGAGATACAAGGAAGGTGCTCTCAGACTCACGGGAGAGGGCCTTGTTTCATTGGTATGCCTGAGGGCCCCGCAATGATGGCCAAACAGCAATAGCTTAATCAATGTTGAAGTAAAACCGCCGAAGTCAACCCTCTGACGACTCCCCAAGTTGCAGTGATGACCCCCTCCCTTTACAAAACTTGACTACTTCTTTGAGTCCCCGTACTCCTCCCTAGATCGGTCATCAATTCTCAGCATGCTGAAGCGAAGGTAACTCCACGAAATCCTCAACAAATATCGCCCGCACAACATGCTGGAACTCTGTAGCTGGCCTGTTGTTGCTCGTTCATCCGCGAACGATGCTGCCGACTGTCGAGTGAGCCAGCATCTTGCAGCTTGTCCTTCCCCCAGTCACCTCGTTCAACAGTTGCCGCCCAGCAAGCTATAGCAGGTCGGTGTCTGGGTGGCCCGTTACCTCACTTCGACAGACCGGCCAGCGCATGGTCTTCCAACAAGGTTTCGAGCCCTCCGCTGGGTTCATGCTATCTCGCCCAACATGATGAGCAAAGCATCGGCCAAAACAGGTAGGTCTCCAAACCGCGGCTGACCTCTCGCTACTTCATCGATCGGATGAGCAGAACCGAATGAATCTTCCGCTGGAATGCGGAACTGTACATCGCCACACTCGCAGCCTCGACAAGCCTCCAACCTCGCGACTAGCCTTATGCTGCGCTATTCTTCACCGATAGGATACGCATCACACAGGCGGCAGGTAAGCATTCTCTTCGCGCTTACCTCACACTTCTCCCCTCGATGGATGGGCAATGTACCGTCGCCAGGTAAGTTTCCACCCCTCGGCCGGACTCACGCTACTCCCACCGATAGAACAACAAAACCGAGTGAATCCATCATCGAAACACGGAACTATACACGGCTATCCGTGTGTGTGTGTGTGCGAGAGAGAAAGTGAGAGTTTTCTATCGACGGGATGAGCAACGCACCGACTAACAAGTAATTCTCCGACATCGCGTGGCTGGCCTCACGTCGAATCCATCGGTAGGATGAGCAAAATCGGACGAATGTTCCGCCAGAACATGGGCACGTACTTTGCCTCTGCCCATCCTTCTTTCGTAGCTCACCGCGCAGCCCCCTCTTTCTCTAACTCTAATCCTACTAACTTCCTGCTCAAACTAACTGCAGAATTGGATTCGCCTAGGCCTAAAACCCCCGTCTCACTTCCTTCCCGGCTTGATTTTGCAGAGACACGAGCGATGTTTTCGACTTCCGATTCCTGCCAACTCCATCACCCGGACACCATCGCGCACCTCCTTCTCTACTAACCTCCCCTTCCACTAACTATCTTCCAAATCCGACTTCAGATCTGGATGCGCCTACCCAAAAAAACCCAACCTACATTATTTCCCGGTCTCGTCTCATGAAGAATCGTGTATGCTATTCTTCCGCCCCTGGGCCTCGTCTCCGTCTACACCATCTCCAGCATCAAATGTCCCCGGCGCAAAGCCGCGTCTTCATTCATTTTCATTCCCCTGTTCCTTTTTGCCCCGGTCTGTGTTCACTTCCCCATCACCCTCTCTTTCCCGGATTAACGCAGCGCCCGACATCGGCCCGTGGAACACCTGTTCGAAGCGCCTAGAGAGGCGGAGCCAACAAGGTAAGCAACCGAAAAGAAAACGAGGGAACGCCCCTCGATTTATGCCGACCGTCCTTGCACATGGGCTATGCTAATCTCCTCTGTATCGTTCCAATTTTAACAGATGTCCCGAAGGACAACACACAAAAAAAAAAAGAAACAGCAGTCCCCCGTTTTCGGGACCGCACTGGGCTAGACCCAGGTTCGACTGGCACGGGCATTGTTTCTGCAATCAGGACCCTCACCTTAGTGCCTCTAGCCCCTGCTGACCAATCCCCACGCCGACGAGGATACGGTCCGCTACGGACTTTCAATGCGGCCCCGGACAGGCCCAGGTGGTGGCGAGTACTGAAGAGAGGAAGGTCTGACGCGAGGTCGGGTCCTATGCCATCGACCCCGTACGGCCTGTTGCCTGCATGACTGTGCTCTGGCCGCTCCGACCAGACCTCCTACAACAGTCACCAGCCGGGACGGGGCAACATATGTGCGGAATGTCCCTGCCAACCTAGTTCCTCCTCTCTCGCGGACTAAATCATCCTCCGTTCAAATGCACACTAACCCTTTCGACCCTCGTCTGAAGGCGGTGGGGCCGACGACCTTCACTAGTATCCCGAATGTGCCAGGAACCTATAAGTCAACGACAGAAGCGCATGCTCAAGGCCCTCGACGCCTTCCAAGTCCCACGTCGCGGCAGAGTAGAGGGGAGCTTGAGTAAAGTAATAATGGTATAACACCTAAATAATAAATATATTTAAAATTTTTAATCGTCGAACTATGACGAACAAGGGAATGGGAGCCGCTGGCAGTGCCTCAACGCTGTCAACGACAAGACCAAGGGGGATAGCCCCATCGTGCCCTCAACCCCATCGGCCCTTTCGCGCTGCCACGACATCCTCGCGCAGTCACTGCTTAATCTCGATCCCTGAATCTACGTGTTGAAAGTCCGACATCGTAACCAAAGTGTTAGGCCCAAGGCTGAGCCTAGTTTCGACAGACGCCTGAATAAACGGATGTTGCGCAACGCGCAGATCTACCGAAACGTTTTGAAAATTCATGTTGTTGTCGATGCCATCCTTCACACTTGCGCACAGGCCACAACCGAACATATCAATCAGGAGAGAATCTTTTTAATCCTAATTTACTCGAGAATAAAAAATATGGCTGGCAACTACACCGACCTTCACGATCATCAACCAAAAATAAGAAGATCACGCGCGCCTTAAGTCCGCGCGCGCACACACTCTCTACTCTAGTTAACCATCCAGCCAACGCAAACCACGGACGCAGCCACGCCTCACGTGGTATACTTAGACTTTAAACCAAACTTATTTTCTGTCACTTGCAAAAACCAGGGCGGATACCCTTGTAAGGGTGTTCGCACCGACAAACCGCTGGCTTTGAGGACATAGGTTAGTGGTCTAAAACCCTGACGTTGAGGCAGTTTCTCCAGAAAATCAAGGAGAGATTCCTTGACAAGACGACAGTCGATAAAGCTGTCGATGAACTCACCACTATAGGCCAAAAGCGTTGGACTTTTGTTGATGCCTTGTCTCGTGAAGTGGACCGTCTATTGCAGGTACCGGGGTTGAACCTTCAGGACAACCAGGTTCTCTACATCTACTCACGTGCATTGTCCGAGCCCATTCGTGGACAGCTCGTGGGCGAATCGAAGTCGGGTAAGTATAACTATCGACTTTTTCGTGATCTCGCTCTCCAACGAGAGCAGATGACCGCGCAGGTAAAAGGGTCTTACGCTTCGGTGGTGAAATCGAGACCGGTAGGAGGTTATGACAAGCGGGTCCTTTGGCGGCAAAAGCGCCAGGACCATATGCTTGTGTTATTTGACGATGAGACTGTAGAGAAGTTACCTCTGGAAGAGTCTGAGGGAGGAGGAGGTAACGGCAGCAGTGAGTCTGGGAAGGGTGACATCATTGCTGTCATGGCCAACAAGGGAGGCCAAAACCAGTGGAAGAAGAAGAAGAAAGAGGCCACGCTCGTTTCTCGAGCACCCCGGCATTGCATTCTGAACGCCTTGGGAAAAGATGAATATGACTCGAGAGGAATGGCAGTCCAAAATGTACAATCGCCAGTGCCTCACGTGTGGCACCGTGGGGCACGTGATAGCTTGGTGCTCGCTTATTTGAAACCCAAAAGCGAGCAGCCAGTAGGAGTAGCATCTTCTCCTACTGAGTTGAAGGGATTAGACGAAGATAAAGGAAAGGCGCCCGTAACCCCTTCTATCCCTTTGACTCTTAAGGCAGAGGATGACTCTTCTTCCGCCCGTCGTGCAGACCACCCTGACACAGTACTTTGTCAGCAATGAACTGATAGCACTACGGAGCTCGTGGGCGAAGAAAGCGAAGTCTGAGGGTGAGTTGATGATCGCGGATATTGAGATTGCGCACACGCGAGTAGGTGCTTTGTTAGATCCAGGATCGACGCGGTCTTATATCTCAGAGAAGGCAATTCGAAAGTTGCATCTGGGAATGAAGGTAAAGGATATACCTAGACCTATCACGTCTATACTGGCTGACAAGAGCACGATCACTGTCTCTCAGTATGTCGATCGTGTTAAGTGTTACTTCAGGACCAAGGAAGGTAAGAAGATTTTACACGAGGTATCCTTCCTTAAAGAGAAGAATTTACCGTTTGGCTTAATTCTGGGTATGGATTGGCATGAGGAAGCCGACCCAGAAGTTAAGTTCAAAGATAAAATTGTCAAAGTCCGAACTGCGTAGTATAAAGCTGTATCACAAGTCTGGCTCTTGCTCTACTTTGTCTTTTTGTTGTATGAGTTACCCAACCTTTCGTTCGATGGTAGTAAAGAAGAAGTTGGATCAGGAGGTGATGATGGTGCTTGTTAAACAAGTCGGTGAGTGTTCTTCATCCTACCCACCTTCTATCGAAAAACTTCTTGATGAGTACAAGGACTTGCAGATTGAGCCTACGGGAATCACTGAGCGTGCTATTAAGCACACGATTGAGATTATTCCCGGAAGCAAAATTCCCAAGGGTCCCATTTACCGTATGTCTCCCAGAGAACTTGAGGAATTACGAAAACAGTTGAGGGATGGATTCGACCCAACTCATCTCCCTATGGTGCACCTGTCTTATTTGTACCCAAAAAGGAAGGTGAACTTCGTTTATGTATTGATTATCGTGGGTTGGATTATGTCACTGGGAAAAACGTGAAACCACTTCCACGTATTGATGACTTGTTGGACCAACCACAGGGCTGCATATATTTTAGCAAGATTGATCTCAAGTCAGGATACCACCAGGTCGAGGTGGCTCGTGAAGATCAACACAAGACGACTTTCCGAACAAGGTGGTCACTACGAGTTTGTGGTAATGCCTTTCGGATTGACTAACCCCCCCATTGCCTTTCAAAGGTCCATGAATGAGTTGTTCCGTCAGTGGTTGGACCAATTCGTAATTGTCTATCTCGATGATATCCTAGTGTACAGTAAGACACCGGAGGATCACGAGAAACACTTACGGATGGTTCTTCAGAAGTTGCGCGAAGGCAACTTCAAATTGAATCCGAAGACGTCTGAATATGCTAAGCCTGAAGTATTATACCGAGGGCACATAGTGAATGAAGAAGGACTAAGGCCTGAAGAGAAGAAAATAACAGCAGTCAAAGATTGGCCTCAACCTAAGACTGTCACTGAACTTTCCTAGGACTTGCTAGTTATCATAGGAAGTTCGACATAAACTTCTCCTTGATAGCTGCTCCTATGAGAAGACTGTTAAAGAAAGAAAAACCTTGGTTGTGTGACAAAGACTGTGAGTTATAATATAACTCACTACCCTATCCTAAAGATTGTTGACCTTTTTCTTCCTTTCATAGTTACGATTGACGCAAGTCAGTATGGAATTGGGGTTGTGCTACAGCAGGATGACGGTAAGGGATATAGACATGTTGAGTTTATGTCGCGAAGACTTTCGTCAGACAAGGTAGCCAACTCTACCTATGAAAGGGAACTGTATGCCTTAGTAGCTGCACTAGATACCTGGAAGCACTACTTGTTAGGGAGACATTTCACTGTCTACTCTGATCACTCTACATTGAAGTGGACCAAGACTCAACCCAAACTTTCCGACAAGTTGTAAGGTGGTCCGCATTCCTTTACACATTTGACTTTGAGGTGAAAACCATCAAAGGTGAGTCTAATGTGGTTGCGTCTAATGTGGTTGCGGATGCTTTGTCAAGGCGTGCAGATTTCTTTTGAATTGTTGTCTTTTACCTCGATATTGGAAATGAATTGAAAGAACAAATCTGCCAGGGTTATGGGAGTGATCCTATTTAGAGTCCTATCATTGGAACTCTACGAAAGAACCCTGAGTTATTTCCAGAATATTGAATGACTGATGGCTTACTCTTCTTGTTGGATAAAACTGAAGAACGATTATGTATTCCTGACCTAGAATCAATTAAGAGTTTGATCATTGTGGAATGTTATGATGCAGACGGTCACTATGTACGAGAACGTTTTGAGTGGAAAGGAATGAAGGAAGATGTATTAACGTATCTACGGACTTGTCTTGTCTGCCAGAGAAACAAGCCCTCACATGAGAATCTCTATTGACTTCATGAGCCTCATTAAGAGTCAGTCAGAACGGCAACAGTCAGGTAATGGTCATCGTTGATAGATTCTCTAAGTAGGCTATGTTCATTCCTTTGCCTGCTAAAGCTAGAACCGAATTAGTCATTCAAAAGTTCCAAATGCGATGGGTCTCTGAGTATGGATTTCCCAAAACCATCGTATCCGACGGAGATGTTCGGTTCACTAGTCTACAATGGCAAAAGTTGATGGAAGTCTACAGAACCAGGTTGACCATGTCGTCAGGAAGACATCCTGAAACGAATGGTCATTTGCAATCAGACTCCTTTTCTTTTCCACTTCGCTACATGCAAACAGACGGCGATTCACGCTGGTGCAGAGCGCCCACTCAAAGCTCAGAGATATGGACAACGAGAACACAGTTCAGTTGCAAATTCATTTCAACTGGCTATGGCGCACCAGCGCCTGTACATCCCACTCTCGTCACTGTGTCCGACACCACTGCTTGCACATGCTCGCTCTGGATCACCCTGAATACTCCACACATGCACACTCCATCAGCTACCTCTACCCTACGGCGGCTATGGCAGCTCGCCACTACTACTATGGCTACTATGTCTCCCTTCATCCCACTTCTACCTCGGGCAACCTGCAGACCACCTTCATACAAGACGCTGTAGCAGCGCTTCCGCATGGCTTACGCAGCGAATCAATGAATGGTTGGGCGCTGCCTCTTGATTTATACTTCTGTAACTCGGTGGTCTGCCCCTTTCCCGGGCCCTTGGTGCACACAGTCCCACACGGTACTTGCTTGACTAGACTCTGACTGACTGGGACCGGTGCCGCTGACTGCATGGGTTTGAACTGCCAAGTCAATGCAGTCGCACTGCCGACGTCACGCAGTTGGCTCACCACTTGCCCACTTGCCTCTGACTAAAGGCCCACCACTTGCCCACTTGCCTCTGACTAAACGTGGGACACTTCGAAAAGCCACTTCTGGACCTTCCGGAAGGCTGTGTGACTTGGCCTTTCGGGTACTGTAGAAGCTACGACCTTTACCTTTCAGGACTGTAGCAGCTACGACCTTGACCTTTCAGAGCATCTACAGCCACGACCTCTGCAGAGCTGTGACTCCTAATCGACAGACCTACAGATCAAACCCTTACCGCTACACGGACCTACGACAGACGACAAACAACTACCAAAACACAGATCACGGGTTCAAACACTCAGGGGTCGACTCGATACTGTAGATGGGCAAAGTGAGGTCTGGGGATCGAACTCTAGGGCCCGCATTCGTGACTGCCAAAAAGCGAAAACCGTTTCACATGGAACTGAGGGCCATCAGAAGGCCTACCTGGCCGCCCTCAGCCCAGGCCAAGCAAGGGCAGAAAAGGCCCTTCACGAATTCAGGGCCTGGGCGTGTGACAGTTGACTTTGGTCAACTGTCGGACCACCCAACAGTCAAAGTCCAAAGGTACCTAGCCCAGGCTGCTGGTCAAGCACACACACTTGTTTGTATGCAGGTACCCAGACAGCAGCAGGTCCAAGGGAGAAGTCTGCAACTGTACAATCCGGGCCTTGAGATGTGAGTCAATCTGGACGACTGGGGGAAATGCACCCGATGCCAGACAGCCTCGACGACTGCTACTTAAGGCTGGCCTCAAGCGAGTCCAGCATTCAGTCTTGCTATGCTGCCATGAAACTGGCTCGACTTGACAACGCTGGCTTCATGCTGGCTGTGCACACGCGTTGCGGACGACGGCACAAGGTGGAGGCGGCACGCTGGTGCTTCTTCGGTGCACCATGGCATGCTGACGTGGCGCTGCCTGTGGTATATGTGGCGCTGCCTCTGGTCTACGTGGCATGCTGATGTGGTGCTGCCTCTGATATATGTGGCGCTGCCTCCGGTCTACATGCCATGCTGATGTGGCGCTGCCTCTGGTCTACGTGCCATGTTGACGTGGCGTTGCCTCTGGTATATGTGGCGCTGCCTCTGGTCTACATGGCATGCTTACGTGGCGCTGCCTCTGGTATATGTGGCACTGCTCCTGGTATATGTGGCGCTGCTATTGGTGTACATTGTTGATGTGGCGTATGCCACCTGTCTTGGTTGCTGACGTGGCATTGTCCACGGTGGCTACATGAGGTGACTGGTGGCGAGGAAGAGGAAGATCGGGATCTGTGGATGTAGAGAATCGGGTACTCACCGGTGGCTGACGTCATCACTGGAAATCTGCTGTGTCTTCAAACTCTTCATGAGATTAAGTGCCACGTGGCACTATTGTATGTGACCAGGATTATTCTTATTATCATTGATGATGTAGTGAGGAAAGAAGCCCGGAGAAGGAGAGGGATCTGAAGGATTCTGTGTATTCTCTCTTCCTCTCCTTTGTCTTTTCTGCCTCCACACTCTTCTCTTTTTGGATAATGAGTTACTGCTTGAGATATCGCTTCACGATCTGGAAACTTTCAGACAGATATTGAAACCACTGTTGATTGACGACTTCTGAGTACCTAGCAAACTGGGTTCATTGCATAATTAATGATTAATTAATTAAATAGTTTTGGAGTACTGTAAATAGATCAACAAAGTGAAATCAAATCCACATAGGCTACACTTGATCTTAGCCAAAAGGCTGAGAAGGTATGTCTCCTTGGTTCATTGGGATAACAACAACAACAACAGCAACAACAGCAACAACAACAACAACAACAACAACAAAAGGTTGTGTAGGCTTGCAACCCACCAATGCTGAAGGGCTATCTGCCATTCGTGGATGTGTCGGCTTGTGTCTCTGCATTGCTTGTCTGTGTTCCATCCCCTCTCCCATGGGCTTTCTCTCTTTTCTGCCATGCTTTTGGGGCCCTGTGCAGACACCAAGAAAGATAAGAAGGTATGGGGTGCTCCAAGGATCGTTGGGCGAGATCGCACAAGTGGCTGTTCTCTGGTTGCTGGGAATCGGGAGATTTGACTCGTGTGGTATGTCTGCTGTCATGTGATGGTGGCTTATGGACTGGGTTATTTTTTTTGGGGGGGGGGAAGGGGAAGGGGATTCTGCACAAGTGGCGGTTCAGGGATGTATGGATGTGGTTCCTGTTGTTCTTGGGGATTTGGGTACAGTATTTGAAGTCTTCTTATGCATCCATTGTGCTTATCTTTTGTTATCAAGGGCGCTGCTATTCGAGAAACTTCTTTGATGAATCGATGATATGGCTTTGGATGATGCCATATCCGTCAACGCTGCAGCTTGGAGAATCAGCTGCCGGGCTCTGTGAGAGCCACTGTCTTTTCTGTGCCTGTTGGTGAGGATGGGGCTTTGGGAGCTTCTCTTTTGGTTTTGTCTGGACATATTGCGTGGCTGGTTGTATGATTCTGTTGGGGGTTGCTTGTGCGTTTCATTCTTGTTGTTGCTGTTGTTGGGGTGGGGAGTCATGCCTTGCGATGGTCTTCTGCATGGCGTGGTTGGCTTGATTGGCTTGATTGACTTGATTGGCTTGACTGGCTTGATGGTCTGGATGGGCTTTATGGGCTTGATTGGCTTGATGGGATTCCAAATGGCCTGCTTTCCTGTTGTGGAGGAAGTGGGAGCAGGGAGAGGTCAGTAGAGGTGGTGTGGGGAGGAGGTGATGAAGTTTGTGGGCTGTGAGTTGAATTGCTGATTAAAGGACAACTTGTGTGTGAGCTGGACGGGATGTGGATGTTCTTTTCTCTGTTTGCAGCAGTGAGAGTGGTTAGCATGGGGGGCTGTTTGGTGGTGGTTGGGTCGTGCGGCTCTTTCAGAGCTTAGGACGATGCCTGCTCCATTGTTTGAAGCTCTGAGCATGCATTAGCCTGCACAGGGCTGGCACCCAACTATCGCTATCCCGGACACTGGGTGGTAAGGTATGTGCTTTTCTGGGTTCTCCGGTCCCGCCTCTTCTTTCTTGGGACAAGCCAAACCAACCTGCAACTTCATGTGGTGGTCATCTTCTGTTCATCCTGCTCTTTTATGTGAAGGCTATACTGTGGACTAGACTTTCCATTCCTAACAGCTATAGTGGTTATACCTTGACTCTACCATCTGTCGAAAAAACTTGCATCTTCATGCTGTGGTCGTCTACTCTTCGTCCTCCTCTTTTATGCATTGGCTGTACTGTGGACGAAACATTTCCATCCCTTGCGGTGATTGTGGCTATGCTGTGTGCCAAAATAACCTGCAAGTGTATATTGTGGTCGTCTCTTGTTCATACTGCTCGCTTACGTAATTGCTATATGTGGTGCTCGTCTGCACAATGGCTATCTCTAATGTATGCTGCTTGTATGAATGGACAGCAAGTGGTGGAGGAGCATGGTAACCGACCGGACGTCCAGACCGGGTTCCAGACAGTCCGGAACAACGTGTCCAGTGTCTGGTGTCCGGTCCTTATGTCCGGATGGAGGCCCTTAGGGCAAAAAATAATAATAATAAAGGAGCGGCCCAGGACATTTTTCGGGTCCTGGCCGCCCCTTGAAAAATAATGGGGTGATTTTTCAGTGTCGTTTCACCCTACCGGACAGGGCCTAGAGGTCCGGACACAAGACACTGCAGGTTTTTGGGGTGGCGGGTTTCACACAAGCCCGAGCAATTTCAAAGGGGCCATTTTGACGTGCCACCCGCCGCTGCTGCCCGTTGCCGAGAGAGAGAGAGAGAGAGAGAGAGAGAGAGAGCACTGACAGTGCTGCCAGTCTGAAGACTCTGACTTTCTGAATTGAATGCAGAGTTTAACTTTTAAGTTATATGAAGTTGTGAACTTAAATTACTTAATTCAAAGTTCAACCTTCAAAGTTAATCATTCAAAGTTAATCATACTTCTTTCTTTTTTTTTCCCTCTGTTTCTTTAGTCTTGTGCCTGCTTTGCACTGTTTGCAACTCTGCATGTCTGCTAGTTGAATGTGCTTGTTGATTTGCTGCAAGACAGGTGCTCTGCTGCCTGAACTACAAAGTGCAAAGCAGGTAAGTGCCTGCCAACAGCCCCCCCCCACCCCCCTTCTCCCGTTTCTTGTTTGTTTTTTTTGGGTCCGGACATTTTGTACCCCCTGACACCGGTCTGGACTGTCCGGGTCCGGTGATGTCTGGGTGTCCGTTGACGTCCGGATCACCGGACAGTCCGGCCCGGTCCAGACACTGGTCCGGAAGACAGTCCGGGAGTGTCCAGTGTCCGGGTCTGCGGTTACCATGTGGAGGGGCCTTCCTGCTACTGTCTGCTATTGTTGGTCTAATATTTCATTCTCTGAACAGGGGACTGGTCCTGTTGGCTCAGCAAAACTCACGGAATCTCTGGGCGTTGTTAAGTGTAAGCGACCCCGTTCCTTACTGTTTGGAATAGTTTGAAAAACTAACCACCAAGTTCGGACAGGGGCATATGCAAGGCTCTGCAAAAGAGCTCAATAGCAACCTGTTCCTCTCTGGTTTGAAATCAGCTCAATAGCGACCTGTTTCTTTCTGGTTGGAAAAACAGGGCCATACGTAAAGGCTTTGCAGAAGAGCTCACACTTTGCAGGAATAATCTGCGTACTGAGTCCTGGCCGTGAGGCACGGCAGCGCTGTCGAGTTGTGCCTAATGGAGGCTTTTGCAAGTTTATATACGTGCAACTTCATGGATCTTCGTTCGTTTGCTGTCCTTACTTCGGCTCTAATTGTGGAGCCTAGTGTGGATGTACATGCATTATGATGTTTTCAAACTTTCAGATGCACCAACACTTCGTTATTTCATGAGAAACATCCTTGCCTGAAACAAAACACATCCTGATGATCCTGTCAAATTTTCAGAGCTTTTTTGCTGCTTTTAGCTGTTTGTTCTCGAGTAGTATTTGTCTGAATGGAACAGAGACTTTCAGATGCTCAGGCTTTCCTTTCCTTTTGTGTGAAGAAAAGATGGCTTTGTGATGGTACATTCAGATGGCATCCATTGCACATCCGGAGGTGGATATGTCAATCCAAGTTGATACATGGGTCTACACCACTGTTGGAATCGGTGGTGGACGAATAATGAAATCTGGTTGGTTCACAGTCCCAGGATCTGCGCCTGATAACCATTTTTTAAGATCGGACTCTGATGTGGGTTCTGCCCGTCTGGTAGGGCCCTTCGACGGAACAGGTCGCCCACTGGTTTTGGGTGTCCCCTGTTGGGCACGAGCAGAGATGTTGGTCCGACAAACTTTGGGAACCATAGCATTTGAGTAGCAATGGGCATTGTGAGCACACAGGCATTTTTGAACCTGGCCGTCACGTGGCGCTGAGAGAGAGAGAGAGAGAGAGAGAGAGAGAGAGAGAGAGAGAGAGGCCACAACAGGTCCTCCTCTATGACTCTTCACACTTTGGGCCCCTTTCAGGTATACTATTGGACATCCAGACCTGACCTGTCTGCATCGCCATCCACATGTCCAGATCATAATCATGGTTTGAACCTCGATAGCATGTCTAACTAATGTACTGAATAGCAGAAGGATGAGGAAAGTTGTTCATTCTCTTCCAGTTTCCTATGGCCGACACATTGCCACAGGAGATCACACAGTGCTGTAATGACCCGCCAAAACACGGACTGAGAACACTGCTGATTTCTGGGATTTGCCGCTGGAATGAATGCCTTGCTGCTATTCCCGCATTCTGCTGTGATTTCTAAGTCTGTGTGTGTGTGCGTGCCTGTCTGAGTGCTTGTCGGCCTGAGTGTGTGTGTGACCCGCCAGGGTACTTGTTGGTTGGAAGGCCCCACAGGGCCGGTACTTACCTGTGGCCGTGATTTTGAGGGTTGCAGCAGGGAAAACACTGAAGTAGCGGCGGTAGGCCCGCGACACTTAGAGCAGCGGGAAAAACACTCAAGTAGCAGGTAGGCCGGTACCACTCAAGTTGTGGTAGAACTGTCGGGTACTGGAGGCCGGGCAGAAGAAGACAAAAGTTGGCATTTTTAGAGGGCCCAGTAGCAGTAGGTTAGAGGTAGGCCAGTACCAGTCCAAGTAGCCTGAGTCTAGGGCCTGTCCGGACGATATCCGAGCCTGCAATGATGTTTCCCTCGGAAAGGGAGGAGGTACTGGTTGCTGGGAGCCCGCTCGGCCTAGGAAGTCACCGCCCAAGAGGCCAGTAGGCCATTACATCTTCGGGAGGAGCAAGCAGCTCCTCCTCATTTGCAGTGTGCAAGGATTGGCGACATGCTGCTGGAGCCAAGTGCTGGACTTGGGGAGCGCTGCCTGGAGGAGAAGAGCAACTGGGCGCTCAGCCTGTCTATGGCGAGCAGCCCAGCCTGAGGAGGAGGAAGAAGGGGGCAAAGGAGGAGAGTGGTGAGGTACCTACCTGGCTATGGTGGACACCATCTTCATCACCTTGTTAGGCGTTGCATCTGGAAGGCCCCAGTTGGGGTAGTGCCATCACCGAGGAAGCTCGAGGCAGAGTCAGGCATGGCGGCTTAGCGAGCAGGGGCATAGCTGCTTTGCGTTGTCCTTTGGACAGGAGTGCAGCGCCATAGCTGCTTGTGTTGTCCTTTGCACAGGAGGGCAGAGCCCGTAGTAGTCCGCCATAGCCTAGGCATGTGAGAGGAGGAAGAAGGGGGAAGCCATGGCTATGGTGGACCTGTTGTTGTGTCAGCAGTAAGAGGGAACTTCGGATGTTGATTCTGGTTCATCCACTCATTGTTATTATTATTATTATTGGACGAAGAATAAGATTGGAGGAGGAGGAAGGCGGAGAGAGAAGGGGGATTTGTCATTGGTCTTGCTGGTGTACATCTTCTTCTTCTTCCTCTTCTTCTTCTTCTTTGGTCTCTATCTCTTTGCAAGTGCTTTCCTTTCTTTCACAATTGGGTGACATTGTCTTTCATTGTGAATTTGCGCTTTGGAAGGACGAGGATCTTAACAATTGGTATCAGAGCGGACTTACTTGCTGGTGGGAGGTGTTAGTCACCCTAACCCTAATTCCGAATTAGGTTAGGGCTAACCTAATCTCGGATTAGGGTTGGAGGTTAGGGTTAAGAGGGGCAGTGAGGTATGTGGATGCTGCCCCCACCTGGTTAGGTCATGGAGGGTCGACATCAGACCTGACCAGGTTGCTTGAGTAATGGAATGGGGTGGCGAGACACAAAGGAGGCTGATTGGAGTAAGCGAGAGGGAGTAGAGAGTGAGAGGTACTCGCACCTGGAATCTGGACTTCAAAAAGACATTGAGTGACTTTTGGGTTTCCCCTCAAGAGGGAGACTTGATTGGAGGCTGCCATATCTGCATCGAAGAGCTGCAAGTTGCTACTTCGGTCTTCAACATCGACGGAGGATCCGGCGTTGTAACATGGGTGTAGGGAGGCCCTCTTAGTCATGCTAGGACATTGTGTAGTGGTAGCTGGGGGTCAGGAGGACCTATGAGAGAGGGGGGTGAGTCGTTATCCATCTTTGGAGGCTGGGCCTCACAGGTAAGTGTCGTGTGACTTGGGTATGCCCATGGGTGGTTGCTTGGTGCTTCATGGCCTGTTGGGGTGTGCTGGCCCTCTTCCCCTTCTCTGCGGTCTTGGTTGTGTGTGTGAGCATGTGGATTGCTTTCTCACCTGATGGATGGATGGATGATGTATCTTGTTCTCAATGACATATCTTTCTACAATG